GTAGAGTAGTAGTACTAGATAGTAGTACATGGTAGAAGTAGTAGTACTACATAGTTGTAGATGGTAGTAGCAGAAGTATTAGATAGTAGTACATGGTTAAAGTAGTAGTACTACATAGTAGTAGATGGTAGTAGTAATATTAGATAGTCGTAGTAGTGTATAATATTAGTAATATAGTTGATAGTAATAGTAGTAGAAAATAGTAGTATATGGTAGAAATAGTAGCAGTAGTAGTATATAATAGTATTAATAGTAATACTAGTAATAGTAGTCGATAGTAGGAGTGATATTAGGAGGAACGAAAGTACTATATAGTATATATTAGTAGTAAATAGTAAAGTATTAGAGAGGAGCAGTAGTAGTAGCAGATGGCAACAGCAGTAGTAGTCGTAGTGCTTTAGCTGGCATTATTATTAAAAGCAGTAATAGTATATGCAGTGGTAGTAAAAAATCTCTTCAACACAGATTGATTAACAAAGGCATAATACCCGCCGCTAGAGCATTGGGAGAAAGAGACGGCCTTAATAGAGACTCGACTGGGCTAAGACGATTTGTGTGCACTATGGGAAGGCAGGCACAGGCAGAGGGAGGAGAGAGGCGAGATTACGGGCAGTCCCTGGTGAGGAATGCGGGAAGGCGGGGCCGATGGAAAGAAGAAGTTTGCCTCGAGCATTCACACGCCATAGCCACAGAGCCATGACATGAAGACATGAGAAACGACGCTGACGACGACGACGACGACTGCGATTGCTTTTCACTTTGAGGCTCCATCTAAGCGGCCCAAAACTATGCCCCAATTCCCCCTCCGGCTGCCCCTGGCGCCCTGCACCTCCTGCTGGCTGCTCCAACTGGCATTTTATGATACGATTTTATTTATTTGCCCATGTCTGAAACGAAACTCAGCTCTCGGCACTGAGAACGCGCGTCCTGCCATTGTAATGCAAACTGTCAACAAGACCGCAAATGCTCGAGGCTCACGTATTTGTTGTTCTCATTGTTGCTGCTGTTGTTGTTGTTGTTGCTATTGTTATTGTCGCATTTGATGCTGTCAGAAGTCGTTGGGCCACAGGAATTTGGATGGGAAAATAGTGCAGAGTGTAGAGTGCAGCTTAGCTAAGCTAAGCTGTCATTGCAATCCATCTATGGAGCAGTATTTCAACAGTTTATACATGGTACATGGTATATAATGTATTATATATAAGATCTGTATGCTAATGTGACAAATGATATGTGGTTTGTTTGACTGATGCCAGCAATATTATTGAAGCTTATTGTTAGATTCAAAAATATATTTCATTGTAAATATGCCAAGTTCACGGTAAGTGTTTACTTTTAGCATTTATTAAGATCCTTCAATTCACTTGGAATATCTCAAGTTTCTCTCAAATGTTCTCTCATAAGATATCAATAGACTCAATATTTGTTTTTGAATTTTTGTTTCACGACTTTTCTCTCCTCTTGTAAGTTAATCTACTCGAGTCTTTGCCTGGCTCCTTTCGCTATCAATAGCCAAGCCCATCCTTAAATTTTCCTGAACTAAGAGCAGTCTAAGCATTTCAATTTGGACTACAATTAAAGTCAACTGCCAGACTAAAATTTTACTGATATAAGGAAATTTTGAACCAGCTTGCAAATTGAATTGTAAATGTCCCAAGCTCATATTAGATCAAACAATCAACAATTACAGCATTTGATTTAAAGCATTGAATTACAGTTACGTTAGCCTTGCGAACTGCATCTCTGCATCTACAATGAACTGACAATTTTCCTAAATATTTAGCCATATACCCAAGCATCGAGAAATCAAATTGTCATTGGACTTGAATATCGAGTGGTCAATGAGAATGTGGACAATTCATTTGCTTTGTATGTGTCGATTGATGCAGCAATAGAGTCGACAATTTGTGCCAAATTAAATCGATGTCAACGTAGTTTTCGGCACTCAACAAAGCCGATGACTAAGGGGTCACGAGACCGGAGAGGAATCTATGCGCTTTGTCACTTAACCCAGTTTACTTCCTTTAGCCAAATGAACTATCCTACTGCTGACAATATATCCATTTATATATATGTATGTATAAAAGTCTCTGTTGAAACGTAACTTTTAGCTTTTAGCAACATTTCCATATATGTATGTTTGTGTATGTACATATATTTTCGTACTTTGCGCTTAGCAAGTTTTACATTTTGTTGTTTGCTCAGCTGAACTTTGGAGCCAAAAGCCGCTTGGCTTCAAGTTCTATTTCTAATCTCGGCTGTCAAATGAAATGGTTTTGTTGAAAAGTAGATACACT